AATTTCAAGCCATCCTCCTTTTCTCCTGTCATCAAAAGGTGCAGAAACACTTTTGACATAATCTTCTGCACTGACAGATAAAATGGTTTTGCTGTAAGGGTCGGAAACTTTCACCTTGCAGAACAGAATTCAGCCATCATCGTGGTGAGCAGAGACCAGGAGCCATATATGTCTCTCTTCCTTTGTCTGGTGAGCCAGACAGGCACCTCTCTTTTCAACAGAGACGTGGCTTTTCTCTGCACTGCTCAAGGTTCCAAAGCAGAGCCAAAACTTGTACATAAACTCCTGGTCTAGCCTGCACCTTGCCCAAGAAGGCAGGGTTGGCTTCTCACAGGTCAAGGAGCTGGCTGATCCCTCCTCACTGGCAGGCAGGACTCTTTCTGTGGCAGCATTATTTCTTTTGGGAGGTAGTTTGAACATAGCCAGTTATTTAACAAGACTTTCAGTTCAGTCTCTGCAGTGTTCAGTGATCCACAGTGCCACTTTCACAATGCCAGCTGAAGGCAAACACTGCTTTTTTATTTAGAGACTGGAATGGTTGAAAAGACAGAACAGGGCCCTTCCCATATTGATTTAACAGGCTCTCAGTTCCTGATCATGGCCATCTTAGTGACAAGAGGGGAAACCCCTGCATTGTTGGGTTAGCCAATACAAGGAAGACTTGAAGCCTGCAATGGATAAAAAATGCGCAGGGCACTTCTCATGCCAGTAAATCAGAATAAAGTTTAAAAATATCTACCAACTTTTTCTGTTCAATAGAAGTTGATATGTAAAAAACAATCTGAATCTTAGGGACCACTCAGGTTGGTAATTCTGCTCTTTCTCCTCTGTCAGCTGTAAAACTTCTAACCATCAGCTGCTTCCCTGAACTTACAGCCCAGGCTCTTATCCTGAATTTTTATTAGTTGACTTCTGTTTTCTTTCCACAGTTGCCTTGGAGGGACCAAAATATCTTTCCACGAGTAATTCAACAGAAACACGTACCCATGCAGAGAAGCAGGCCCAGGGCACTGGGCAGTTTGTGGGCAGTCCCACCTTTGGGCTCAGCTAACCTCATGTGTAGGTGCCAGGAAATGGACAGAACACTCACCAAAGACATGGGCTCTTGGAACTGGCATAAAACACCATAGGTGATGCTTTATAAATGCCTCTGAAGAGATGCCCAGGGTGAGAGGTACCTCAGAGGGTTGGGAAAATGCTGATTTGGGAAAGGACAGGTTTTGGTGTTGGGAGTTGATGGCTTGTTTCTTTGAGGAAGACAGTTTGGAAAACTGATGGCAGAAGCGTTTGTTCAGCTCTCCACTGGGTGACTGTGCCATCATCCCAAGGGCTCCTCGAGAGGGGAAACGTGTTCTGTGCTACAGAGGAGCAGGAAATGTGACAGCTTTCCATGATGGGACAGCTGTGCCCCCAGGATTGGCATCTCCACTCAGCCTGCACTGCTGCTCAGCTTGGCTCAGAGAGGCTGACCTGCTGGGAACATTAAAGCCCTGCAGTGCTTCGTTCACCGCTGGACACTTGGGACCCACACTTAGGGGTGGAGAGCATCGGGTGCACCCATGACCTCAAGTTTTGAGTTCCCTTCTTTATTTGCATTACTGGAGCCCAACCAAGATTGAGGCCTCATTTCATCAGCATCAGGCAAACCAAGACAATACCTACCTCAATTTTATTTACAGTCTAAATAGACAAGACAGACAAAGGGTGGCTGTGGAAACAAAAGCTCTGGAGAGGTGATGTGACATGACCCGGTCACACAGCAGGAGATTAAGAGAGCCAGGAATAGACAGAGGTTTGCTGACTCCCAGTCCCAATGATCTATCTATTGGAGCACGTTAATTCTTTCTCTGACTTAAACCCTGTGACTGGCATGCCAGATACTGCCTAGTGAGGGGATCAGAGTTCTGGGAAACACATCCTTTGATTGCTAGTGCTTCAGGCTAGAAATTCTTGGGTATTTTAATATAAGTTAAAATACAGCTAGTGCCGGAAACTCAGTAAACTTTATTTTGGCATATCTATGTAACTTCAAGTCTCCTGTTTATTTTGTACTGAGTGTATTTCTAGCTCTCATTTCCCCCCTGGTTCTTGAGCAGTGTATTGTGCATTTAACGAGGATACTTGGTGGTTGGAATGGGTACTGTGGGGAGAACTGAAGACTTTGGTGTGCAAGAGGATGGAGTTCACCTGTATTTCTGCAGCAACTATTGGAAAGTCTTTCTGTTGCTAGAGCAGCAAAATCTATGTGTGCTATCTGAAGAGCCAGCTACTTGTGCAGTGACTTTGATGTTCAAATGTCCTGAATGGCAGCAGAAATAATCAGAAAGTCACTTTGGGTGGCTTTAAACTGTGGCCATGAAATCCTTTAATTTATGGAGATCTTTGTTTTTCCACTTGTGAACTTTGGAGGTTCACATCAGTGTCACTCAGTGCTTGAGTCCAGGCTAAGCCAGGGATCTGGTCCCTCTGGCAAGTGTAAGGATGATCAGTTTTGGTGCATGTGTTCTTGTTTCTTGCTTCATAAAATAACCTCTTAGCCTCTTGCAGAGGAATGCTTTGAGGAGAAATACATTACCTTAAAAAATGTAAAGTTTGGCTGCAGTAAAAGGCATAGAAATACATGGAAACAGATGGATTCATACACCATTGTGTCTGGCTGTATTTCCCCCTTCTAGTTTGTCACTGGTATTTCTGTGTTGGCTTTATTGTGCTGAGCCTGTAGGATGTTACCTGTTGTATTTTCTCCTTTTGCCTGTAATCAGGCAGGGACAAGCTCCAACCTGATCTTACTGTGTGGTTTAAAGAAAAAAAAAAGTAGTAATGTAATCTGTGGGCAAATTGCGCTTTAATTCGTAATTGTGCTATGAATATGGACTTGGCTTTCAAACACACTCTGAGTTTAAACTGCAGTTTGACTTTTATTTAGATAAATGCCTTTGAGTTCATAGTGAAATGGATATCTGCTGTAGGCTGGTATTGATTTAAAGGTCTCTTGAGTGTTTTAAAAGACAGTAGGGGCTTACAGGACAGCATATTTTAAACTGAGATGCTTGGTTAGGTTTTACACTCCTGTATGGCTTCAGTTCTAGGCTCTGTTAAGAGCCAGCCTGTTGATTTGTAGAGCATTCTTCCACAGCACGTATTGGCAAAAAATTGAACATTTAAGGCACGATGCAAGGAGCTGCCTTCAGAGCTGAAATGGTGGGGAATGGTGTGATGTGAGTGCCATCAAATGATTCATGCAGGGGAACGTTTTGAGGACTTCCCATAAATGCATTACAAGAGGGCAGGTGATCAATATCTGGTTTTTATCTTGAAAGAGGTGTTTATCACTTCCTGCTAATCGAAAAGATGGTAAGCTTTGTAGTCTTTCAAGTCTTGGTATTTGAAAGGCTGCTGTGAGCCTGGATTTTTCTCTGCATTGCCACAGAGGGCAGTGTTTTAGTGTGAGCACTTCAAGAGGTATTTTCCATCAATGCTCTTCTGGCAGCTGCCTTTTCTTTGTGTGTGCCTCAGCCCTTGGGTCATGGAGCATTGGTAAAAGTTCAGTAGGTGCCTTGGTGACTTGGGTCCTGTTCACCTGTTTGGGTTCCAGACCTGCTTGCTTTCTGTGGGCACAGTTTTAAGGCAAAGAAAAGCCCAAACCATGGAAGATGGGCCAGTTTTCTAGTCAGACTGGCTTGGTGGTTTGAATAATCAGCTCAGTGTTTGAGGGCTTATCTGAAATCAGGCCATGAATCTTTTGGGTTGTGTTCAGAGGTGCAGTAAGAGGGTGTAACCTCCCTGCAGAGGAGGCAGGAGGGTTGAATTTTACCCAGGGTAATATCTGAGAGCAGGGCGTGGAGCAAAGTAAAATTAAAGAAGTCCCCCTCACAATTTCCTTACAATTTACTGTGGTTGCTTTTCTACTACCACCCATCAATTTGCCTCCTCCCTCTTTAGATTACACACTCACAGAAACATGCCAGCGCTGCATACAGAATGGTAATTAAAGCACTTGTTACTTTCTGCATCATTAATCACTTGGTCTTAATTGATCTGGTTAGTCCCTAGCTGCAGGTTTGACCTGTCCTGTGTGGTGTGCTGAGAGTGCATATCTTGGAGGGAAGATTCTGCTGTTGCACTGCCTGATGCTACAGCAGAGCATGGCAAAGCTCTTGTGTTTCCTGGGGTTGGCACTTAATTTGCATTATTTTGCCTCTTTGCTGTCCCTAGCAATCCTTGCAATGTGTTCCTTCCTGAAGAATGTTGAGCTCTGGATGTATTTCTGGATGTGCTGTGAGGCAAATCTGCTCTCCCACCAGGCTGTTTTCACATAATAGAGCACAACCCATTTGTCATCCATCAGTGCTAGAATAGGATTTAGATTTAGATTTGGGCTGTTGGATAGTTGGAAAGTGTCAGCTGGGTTTGTTGAGGACCAAAGTGTGTACTACTGTGTGGCTTGAAAACTGTATTCACTGATTTAAAAAAACACTTAGTGATAGACTAGCTGTATCATCTTGTTAGAAAATGTAGAATATATTTTGTTTACACATAGTAAGTGTACATACCTATAAATATATATTTTGTATGTAACACAGAGTGGTGTAAAAAATACTCCATGTGAATATAGCTATAAAATATTTAGTGGAAGGTTTGTTGATTGTTTCTGTTCAGACTTTAATTTGTCAGGAAATATCCTATTCATCTGTGATTAGTTTTGTGGTTGTGAATAAACAATAGTAGAATAATAAATGTAATTGTGTAATATAAAGACAAATTAAAACCACACTAATCTAATGCAAAAGAGCAAGAACCTTGGGGAGAGCTAGATAACGTTTTTGTCATGAAATAAACTCACTCATGCATTCAGCAGAAATGTGCTGCTCTCCTGTTTAAGTTCTTTTAAAAAACCCAAAACTCAAACCCTCCTAGTGCAATCCAGAATAATTAGGATGATTGTTTTGCTGAGCAGGATGACTGCAGTTTGCTGATCCCACTCTCTTTTATTTTAACAGAAACCTGAGCTACAACAAGTTGGCAGAGATTGATCCTTCTGCCTTTGCAGAGATGTCGAACCTGCAGGAAGTGTAAGTATTCCTTCAGAGGTTTTAATTGTGTTTTGCTAGGGCTGTGAGGAAATTATATCTCGTTTCCTAAGACAGTACCTTCCTTTAGCTAAGTTGAATGAGCGGGTCTGACTTGGTGTGGAGGTTTTTTTCCTCCATATTGTACCTGGGCTGTTTTTTTAAAGCTAATCAATTAGCAGAACACAACATCCAATTAAAACAGCAGAGCTGTTATTGGAAATCATTGGAGTTTGCCTCCCTGTGTTGTGCAATGCTTGGAGGGAGCAGTTCAGCACACCTGAACATACACACAATGCTCCTTGCTGAAAGCATAACCCTGAAGCAAGGCAGAACAGCCTGGATTGTGATACCTGATGCCAACCTAGCCCAAATCTCCCAGGAAACAAAGGTGTAGTGTAGTGGATAACAAAGCACTTAACTGTGTCTCCTCCTCTCTCAGACATTTGTGCTCCTTTTGGAACCAGAACAAATTCTGCTGGAAGTCTTGCTAGAAGAGGCTAAACCAGCAGAGCTGTCTTCTGCTCTGGTGGGCAGAAAAGGAGCTGGTGAAGGTTTGAGTGGCTGTGCCAGACTCTCCTTGTTGGTAAAAGAAACCTATTTGAGGGAACTGCAGGTTTTCCAAGCTCCTGATCTCTGAAGGAAGATGAGGAACCTGTGAAGGTTCAGCATTTTCACTCAGAGAGGGGCTGCATTGTCAGCCTTTCACAGGGGTTCCTGGAGCTCTGATTCTGGGCTTTAAAAACCGAAAGTGACTGAAATTGCAGGCGGTGGGCTGAGGTAATGAGCTTGTGTTTGCCTGCTGAATCGCTGGCATACTTGAGGTTTGGGCTCTGTTTGAAGAGCTACTGATGCCTCATGGGAAAATGAAGAAACATTTCCTTTCAGAAACAATACTGTGCTCTATCAAGCATTTTCTCTTGTCCTCTGTCTGTTTTCATTAAGTGTTGGCTCTGGGACACATGGAGGGGCCAGATCCTGTGGTTCTTAAATAGGCAAAAAGTGGAATTCTCTCTGACTGATGCCTGCTGGATTGGACTGTGGGGATTAACCTAGCATCTCTCTCCTGGCCTCATTGCCCCTGGCTCCTCTGTTTACATGAATGGCAGGGACTCGCTGGGAATCATGATTAAGTGAGGAATATATATCAGAAGTGACTGCAATGCTCTGAAATCAGCTCTTCGCGATGTTTAGAGAGAAAGTGATGTGGGTCAGAGGAACACTGTCTGTAGGATCTGTTTTCTCAGCTTCCCTTTTAATTGTGGAAAGCCTTAAATTGCTCTGTGCTTAAAGAAGAGAATTGCAGCCCTGATCCAGAGATACTTTAGAATTATCCTAACATGACTGTGGCTTAGCTTTTATTCATGGAAGTGCCTGAAGGCGTGTGACATCAGGGAGCATGGGGTGGGAAATGTGTGTGGCTTCTGATTCCCCAGGTAGGGAATTCCCTTGAGCAAAGTGCTGCACATGTGTAGAGCAGGACAAGCCCTGCACCAACAATTAAATGTTGTAAAAAGGTGTCAGAGTTTCTGGGGAGATAAGTAATGCAGCCCACAAAGCAGTGGGCAGATAAGAGTTGCTTGCTATGTCAGAAAGACAGGGTTAGGGAATAGGGAGAGAGCAGAAGAGGGAGTAGGAGGGAAAGGGAGCAGTCAGAAATGGGAGACTGGAGGGGAGGCAGAGGTCTGGAGCAGAGCCTGGAAGGCAGGCTCTGGGAAGTGTGAGGGAGAAGCTCTATTAAAAGCCCTATCTACTAATCTTGGTTGCTTTTGAGTAACAGCTAAACCACAGACCACTGAAATAAACTTCATTTCACAAGGACAACCACATCTATATTGCCAGAACATCTTATTTCTGAGGGCTTTTTTAAAGCACTTCACAAACATTCATGAAATAAGCATCATGCTGTGGCATGTCTCAAGAGCAAGTCAGTGTTTCTCTGTGCATGCTGTGCTGGGCAAACCAAGGCACCCTCAGGGAAAGAGATTGCCCCAAATAACAGATGCATTGATAAGACCTGAAACCTCCCATGATGCTTCAAACGTGGTGTCTGTGGTTCCTGAGCATTACACAAGGCTTAAAACTTTGTGTGTGTGTCTCTCCATGTTATTAATTAGTGTGGTGTATTTTTAAAACATTTTGTTTTCCCTTGATTTAAAGAAAATACTTGCAGACCAAAAGATTTAAACTTCAAACCTTATCTTTGATGCTCTGCTTTGCTTTACTGAGATTGTGATAAAGTCATAGCAGAATTTACCCTACACTCTTCCCTTCCCCTGAGTTTAGGCAGTAGTTTGTGTGGTTTGTTTTGGTGGCCTTTATGAGAAGTTTTTAAGAAAAGTTGTAAGTCTGTGTAAGATGAAATTTAGAGGCTCAAAGTGATGCAAAGCCCTGTGATCCCACTTGCTCTAGAATAAGTGGTGGAGGGGAAGCCAGGGTTGGGGCTGGATCTGTAACATTACTTTCCTTCAGGACACTTGATCTTTCCCTCATCCCCTTTGGTGCCTTCATCTGATGACAATCCCGTGGTGTCCATCCATTCTCCTTCCTTGGTTGGAAGGATGGATGGAGGGTGCTGCTGTGGGTTTCCTCAGGTCATATGGCTCATGGAATCCACCAAACTGATGGTTTTGTGGCTCTCAGGCTTTCCAAGCTCATTGGTAGCAAACAAAGTAGTAACCACGCTAAAATTCCTCTCCAAACAACTCACCTTTTATTTTCTAAAGTGCCTTTCACTGAAAGCTCTGGAGAGCTGTGCTATTTTTGAGCAGGCTCCATTTCAGCTTGACACTAGCCTGGCAACTGGACTGTAAATATTTTATATGGGTGGCCCCCCCTCCTCCTTTGCCTCAACATCCAGAGGGTTTGTGTCGTCAAAGGTGAGGGCTGGGGAAGGACACTGAAAGTTTAAAGTTGTTGAGCCCAGCTGTTCTGTTTTGAGGGGCTTTTTCCCCTTTTTACTTTTTCTTTTCCTTTTTCAATTCCTTTGCATAGGGAAAATCCCAGGCAAATACAGAGCTTGGCTGTCTCCTCTGTGTCAGCAAATGGTGCCTGTGAGCCAAGAGAGAAAATGAGGTGGGAGAACCACTTTTGACTGATTCCTGACATGACAGGAGGCTGATACATGAACATCACACTTATGTCAGAGGAGGGTTTGACCAGTTGTTAGATGTTGGTTGGTGTCAGAGCTGCTTAACCAGAGCTGACCCAGGCTTCTTATCCAGAAGATGCTCAGTTAGATGTTAATGACAACATGCTCAAATAAGCATTTTAATGCTCTTTCCAGCTTTCTCTGTACCTTTGGAAGCTCTAGACCATATTGTAATATGAGAAACAGTGAGCTTTTAGTTGCAGAGTGGAGCTGCTTGCTGAATTGCAATGCATCTGGCTTTTTTCCCTTACATTTTAAGGCATGGGTTTAATGTCAGAGGCAGAGGAAAGCTTTTATCCCAGCAGTGCTTGGAACTCCTCGTGAAATCAAATATCTTGCCTCCTCTCAGAGGAGCCAGAAGGGAAGTTCTGGGATGAATGTGCCACTGCCCTCTCCCACCTGCCAAAAATAGTGTTAAAGGAAAGAAGCGGGGGGGGGGGAATAAACCCCCAACATAATTTAGGATTGCCCCTACTCGTGCCTGTGGCTCAGCCCCCTCAGCTGTGCAGCTCTGGGATGCTGTGCTTTGCACCCAAATGCTGATCTGGTCACGATTCCCTGCAGAAGGGGAAGGCCCAAAGTGACCCAGCAAGGCTCTGCCTGGAGCAGGAGCAATGGGATCAGAGGTGGTTTGGGGGTCCTGGGGAGCCTGGCCGGGGCTTGGCTGTGATCACTGCAGCATGAGAGGGGAGTGGGCAGGAAGGCTGAGAAATTCAGTAATTTTTCAAGCAGCCAGATGAACGACTGTTACAGTAATTAATTGACTAATTCACCATACAAACAACGGCCCTTTAAAGCAAGGAAGAGCCAGTCACATGGCAAGGATCTGTTTTCAGTCAGAAAAAGACTTCAAGCATTGGGCCCTTGCAGGGGACGTCTCTGTGCTGGTGGTTGCAGGAGCCAGGGGCCTGCGGTTCCATTAACCCGGGGGCTCTCTGTGCTCCCCAGCTGCCTGGAGCAGGGCCCCTGTGTCTGGTGACATTGCTGTGCCCAGCACTGCCTGCTGCTGCCTTTGTGGGGAAACCCCTCTGGGATTTCCAGAGCTGGTCCTGGTATGGAGAGGATGCCACTGAGTTGTGCCCCCAGGCCCTGAGCTGGTGTGGAGGTGGGGTGAGCAGGGGCTGCAGCTTGGGGAAAGGGGTTCAATTCCTTACACTTGGCCTTAAGGTGCAAAAATCTCCTGTCTCAGGCTTTACTCTGTGAAACACAGGCTAGTGGAGGGCTGTGGCACAATGCTTTCCTGCCTGGCACTTTAGGGAGTGGGTGGCGGGGGGGAAAAAGGCCTTGCTCTTGTAAAGACAATACAGTGGAACCAGTGATGGTGGCTCTCGTGTATGGCCATCAGAGGTCCAGACAAAGCCCTTGAGATGGAGCCCAGTGTCAGCCCTCCCCTGCTCCTGTGTGCTTGGGCACAGGCTGTTTGGCTTTAACCCTCATTTTCTGTTTGTTGCAGGCGACTAGACAACAATGAGCTGACTGCCATTCCTTCCCTGGGATCTGCCGCTTCCAGCGTCCGCTCCCTCCACCTGTAAGTCACTGTCCCTCCTTCGGCTCTGGGCTCTCTGTGGGGTGGCTTTAGCTGCCTCTCAGAGTTTCATGAGTGTCACGCTCCTTCCTGCTGACTCTACATTTTGGTTTTTGGCTTGTTGGCGCCTTAATTAAGAAACATCATCTGGAGTGGTGTGATTTGTGTGAGGTTGTGTGTTGTGCTTATGGTCAGTGGTAACTTACGTCAGTAAATTCCACAGGTTGAATAAAACTTTTTTCTCATCTGCCTTTAGGTTTCAACCATTAGCTCATACTTGTGCTATTAAATTTTACCTTTTCTTTATTGTTCTTTTTTTCCCTGGCCCTGTTCTGGTCATTTCTTCTTCCCTCCTAAAGCCAGAGACTACTCATATCTTAATCTTTCTGGGAACTCATTCTAGACCTGTTTTTATGGTCTCTTTCAACTTCTTTGTAACACTTTCTTTTGAGAGAGCAGTGATTGTAAAGCAGGATCTGCAGAAGGTTTGGAGTTCCTAACTTTGGTAGTTTAGATGACCACAGAAGCATTAGACACCTGAGAGCCCTTGTGTACTGGCCACCAGGGATCTTGGGCTGATGCTGCTGCTGAAGGGAATAAAATATTAAACTATTTAGTACCTAAAGAGTGTGGATTTCTAAAATTATTTTTGCATGTGTCTGCTTGTAATGTGCACTGAGAAGGAATTTTGCTGAGGTATGCATGATACCTCCCAGGTTCCTGGGAAGTGTTTGTAGCTAACAGGGACTCCAGCAAAGTGCTGGAGCAGTTCAGGTGGTGGCTTCCAGCCTGCATGGCCCTGCAGTACACCTGTAGGCAGGTATCTCTATTTTCCATGGATTTGGTACTTCTTGTGGTGGAAAATGCCTGTGACCACACCACCAGGTGATTGGGCTCTCTTGCTCCAAAGGCTCTCACTTTACTCTGAGGCAGCCTTTATCTGTTGACTTACTGCTCTGCCACATTGGTGCTGTGCACCAGGGTTCGAAAAAGACCTCCAGAAATCTGATTCATGGCTGGAAAGCTTGTATAGAATTTGCCATCCAGGGTATAGTTTTAGGCCCCCCAGAACGGCTTCTCTTTCTCATGAAGTCTTTAAATGCTCCTAGTTCCACAAGCCCCTGTTGTTATTTTTGCTATTAATTTAGCTGCTGGCAAAGAACCAAATTGCTGGAGCTTTGGGCTTTTTATTCCTGAAATGAAATAAGCAGTTTGGAAAGGAGGAATAATGACTGGTGGAAGGCAGTAGATTTACAGCTCCTCTGAAATTTCAGAGTGGTGCAGAAAGAAGGAGAAGCTACAAAGCCAAATGATAAAAGGATGGTATTCCGAACAAACCTGCTTAGTATCACTTTCCAGAAATCTGAATTGCTCTCCTCAGCTGCTACACATAAATAACTCTGATAGCAGGATTTGTAATGCTGCTGTCTTATTTCTGCAAGAAGGGTCTCTTTGTTTAGCTTGTATTAGAGAATGCCACTTCTTTTCCCCCCCTTGCATTTCCTTTTAATTTTTATCAGCGATAAAAATAACCTGAAAGATGTTTTAAAGTACCTGCTTCAATCAATATTGCTGACTCACATTGGAATGATTTGCTGAGGAAGTGAAGTTTTCTCCCTCTTTGGGAGTCTTTAATCAATTGGTTGGCTTCCTAAAAGATGGTCCTTTAGTTCAACACTAGGTTAATGGGCTTGATAGGCAAATTGGTGATAAAGTTACTTAGCCTTGTGTGATGTAAGGAATCAGATTATATGGTCATATTGGTTTCTTCTGGCCTTCCAATCTGTGAAGTAATAATTGGGGAAGCTGCCAAACCAAACCCAGGCTGAAGACTCATAATGAAGACTTGTGTACTGAGAAACTGGTTTATGTTTAAGTGTATAGTGTTACAGTGTATTCTTAATGCTAAAGAGAAATAAATACATTTCCTTTTTTTTTTTCAGTGTTTAGAAATGTGTGAAGTGTGTTTACCTCACAAACCTCTGAAGTAGGTTTTGTATATTGCATGTGGTTAAGTATTTCCAAAGGACTGTTAATGTATTATAAAAGCAAGGGTTGTGTATTTGTCACTCAAAACAGCCCTTCTGAATGAGTTACTTCATCTCCTACTCTTCCTAAACAGGAGAACACACTTTTGGAGCTGGGAGAAAGAATACCGCTGAACTCAAATTTCCCATAAAGTTTGTTGGGGGTTTTTTGTTTGTTTTATTTTTTGTTGTTTATTTTTTTGTGTGTCATTTTGTGTTTGTTTGATTGTTCGTTTTTTAAATGAGCTTTGCTTTGCATTCCCTGCTTTTGGGTTTTCCATATCTGTCTCCATCACCCAAAACTTGCCTGACTCCACATGGTGTGAGAACCACAGGCCAGTTAAGTATATATGTAAGCATGTGAGAATCTGTTGAAGAGAAAATTCACAAAGCTTTCTGCAAGCCCTTGGATGTCCCAAGCTGCAGACATGTATCAAAAATGCTTTGTCCTAATATACTGCCATGAAGTTTGGTCCAGTTTAGTTATTCCTCGAAGAATCAGTTTGTTTGCCTTGCACACTGAAAATATTGCCAAAGTCGTTCATTTCAGCAAGAGCAAACATAAGGGACTTGATAAGGCTTTTAATAGAACAGAAGGGAAAAATAATCTATGTACGGGTTACCAAATAAAGACAGACATTAAATGCAAACATCTGTTAGTGCAAACAAAAGCCAGGAAATTCAGCTGGGAGGGGGAGAGACTGAATCTGGATTCATTCCGAAATTACATCGGAATAGCTGAGAGGAGAACCTTGCCTGAAATTCCCACAGCATTTGTAATTTAGTTACAGTTCCTAGACTTGGACATTTGGGAGTTGATGGCAGGATGTTTTCACTGACATGCCCTTGGCCGAGGATTTCCCATCCCAGTGCAGCTACAGTGTGTTAACTCTGAAGGCTCTCTTAGACCCTGTTACCTGATCTGGTAGGGAAAGGGATGATGGAAGAAACCATTTATTTGCAGAACTTAGTCTGTTTATATCCAACTTCCTCCCTAACTTGTGTGGAAGAACTCTTAGGCTTGCCAGGTTAAAGGAGCTGCAATCAGCCCTGCACTGGTCAGTTATTATCTGTTACTACAAACCCCTGAGCAGGCACCAGCTCAGCCCTTACTCTGGGGCCTGTCTTCTCTGCATGTGGGTAACTGCATCCTGGAGGGGTTTTGGGGCGTTTGGACAGGATGCTGGAGATGGATCCTTGTCCTCTGCCCTGGCTCCAAGCCTGATTCAGTCAGCATCCTCTGACACAGGCTGTTGGGCAGCTGTAGGGCTCAGTGGAGAGCACTAACCAGACCTGGAGCAAGCATGGTAAACAGACCACACTCTGCCACATCCTTAGCTGGCTGGGAATTAAGGAAGTTAACAGATTAAGCACTTAAAAATAACTTTCATTTCTTTCACTGTAAGTCTTTTAAGCCTCCAGCCATTTAGGAACAAAGGAGACAGTGACCCACAGCAGTCAGCTGTGTGTTAGCAACAGGCAGAGCTGTTTGAGATGCTTTGGCCCCATCATCTTGCTCTGAATAAGCACCAATAACAAGGAACTCAGAACAGGGATTTTTAGAGTAAAGGAGTGTGAAATAGGATTAGCTGATTCACAAGAAGATGCAGTGACACTGCCATGTATTTGCTGGGGAAAGCGAAATCAATAGAACTACTCTGCCGCCAAACTGAGCAGAAAAGTCTCTTGCAGAAAATCAATCTTCTTTACAGACTCATTAATGTAAAGATCAATTCACATTAAACTGTAATTAAACAGAAAGCTAATAAGAGAAGGGTAAGTGATCTACTGTGCCCCAGGCAAAATATATAATGTAAAATTTGAAAACTAAATACATGGAGAATTGGAAACTGGGAGTGGCAGGGAGCATGCTAGGACTGCTTGAAAAAGAGCTGATGAGCTCAGATGCTGGTTGGGGCAGCATGATCCTCGTGGAAAGGAGGGTACTGTATGCTATTCCAGCTGGATGTCAGGTAAGACAGGTCAAAGACTTCAGCCAGTCTCTTCCATTTGACTTGCATGGTTTCTTGTAGAGCTTTTCCTCTTAAGTGCCGGGGATTTTATTATAATTCTGGTTAAATTAGCCACATTGTGACCCTTGTTTTTTGTCTTTGATTTTCTTTGACTCTCATTAGACCTTTGCACTAGATTAAAGTTGACTGGTCTTGGAGGTTCATAATGTGGCAGAATCAGGATCACACTATTGAGCTGTTGCCTCATTCTTTTGCAGTGAAGGGATGGGAAAGCAGCTGTTATTTTAGTGCTGTTTGCACTGCTTCACTTGTGTTGTCAGATAGGGTTTGCAGACACTCCTTATGAAAACCCATGTGGTCCATTAGATTCTTTGAGCTGCTGTTTTGCTTTCACCCAAGGCAAAGGTGTCTTGCTTTGTGAGCTGGAACAGTGCAAGCAGTCTGTGCTCTGCTGCTCTGAGTGGGATCTCACAAATACACCATTTCTGTAAGATTTCCCAGGAGCTGGGGTGGTGGGCTGAGACCTGGTACTTCACCTCATCTTTGCTTTGCAAGTTAAGATGGTGCAGACTTGGTTGAGCATTGCAGCTCTGTCCCTGGCAGCCTCTCAGGGTGACCCCTGTTAGAGGGAAGAGCTCAAAACTGCTGCCATCTGTGCTGTTCGGAGAGTGCAGCTCAAGCCTGAGCTGGTCCCTACACGAGGTGTGAGCTCACTTCGTGCTCCTGGCTAGGCCAGAGTAAAAACCTCTGTGTAGGCGGTGTTGAGAGCTGGGAAGTTTGGCTTACAGGAAGAATGAGGTTTGAGCTAACTCGACAGTACAGACGTAGCCTTGGAGGCCATTTGTGGCCTGGGATCCTGCTGTGCTAATTGCTGTACAAACAGAACAACTGCCTTGACCCCCAAGGGGTTTAATCTGCAAGTCATCTTTGCTGGAGTTAAAAAGGGATGATCTAACAATTAGAAATAAGGAGACTACTCTGTTAATTCCATCTGGGTCACAGC